GCTGGTGGTTTACTTCGGTAATCCTAGCTACTCAGGAGGCTTCGATCTGAGGATCAGGGTTCCAAGCTAATCCAGGCAGAAAAGTCCAGCAGAATCTTATCTTTAACTATTTACCAAATAGTCAGAAGTGGAGTTGTGACTCAAGAGCTTCAGACTTAAGCAAAAAAGCTCAGGGACAGCACCCAGGCCTTGAGTTCAAGCCCCAAGACTGGTACCAATAAAAGGGAAGAGGTCAGCCATTGTCTTTCTCAATGCTCTCTGGCCATGAGTTCACAATACTGATGACACCCTTGACTCTACACTGTGTGTGTGTGTGTGTGTGTGTGTGTGTGTGTGTGTGTGTGTGTGTGTGTGTGTATGCTAGTCCTGGTCCTGGGCACTCTCCCTAAACTTTTTAACTCAGGGCTAGTGCTCTACCACATGAGCCACAGCTTCACCTTTGTCTTTTTGATGGTTAATTGAAGATAAGAGTCTCATGAACTTTCCTGCCCAGGCTGGCTTTGAACCATCATCTTCAGATCTTAGCTTACTGAGTAGCTAGAATTACAGGTGTGAGCCACTGGTGCCCAGCTAACTCTAGACTTTTTAAAAAGAAATGTGGTTCCAGACATTTTAGTGCAGTTTACAATCATCTTTTAAGCTCTTGACAAGTATACAAGGTAGCCCAGTACCATTGCTTCCGTGTCTCAGGCAGGCGAAGAAGCAGACTCCAACTTGTTGAGGAGCCTGAAAGCTTACTAATGAGAAACTAGGAGGGAAATGAACCAAAATTGGTAGCCAGATCAGGCTGACTAAAGCCTGGGCTTTAGCTGAGACTGGCCCTCAAAGTCTTGCTGATTATATCTTTGCAGTAATTTCACCTGTGGGCAACAACCAGAAAGCAGCTTCACTGCTTCAAGCCCTCACATTGCAGTTACTTTGGGACAGGACAGGTACCACACCCTTAGCCCAAACCTTTCAGCACATCCTGGCATCCATGAGTATGTGTGATCTTACCCTAACCCCAAAGTTTCCACATTATCTCTGAGCCACCAAATAAAGCTTCTAGCAGTCAGTCTCCAGGGAAGAAGAAGTCTAAAAATGAGGCTGAATGCTCTCTCTGATGTCACATCTACCCAGGATGCTCCACAGCTGGTCCATTCCTGATAAGGCAAAGTCCCAGCTCTGTGTTCTTGAATCATACATTATTTAACAATTGATAGCATCCTATATATGTTATTATCTAGTGCTATCACATATATAACCTCAATTGTGGCCAAGGGGTGAAAATTGCTTTATTAATTCCTTATCATATAGAAAAATGTTCCTTATTCTCTTATTACTGTTATAATATAGTTTGAAAAGAAACTTTCTGGATGGGGGAAGCCCTCAGAATCCTTGAACCAATAACCAGCTCCATTTTTGCTGTAGCTAAGTGGCCTTGAGTGATTCTATTTCCAATTGCTCACTTTTAAAGTCAAGAGATTCTAAGTTAATAAGCAGTTGTTTAATTCTGCTAGAGATTTTCCACTTTTAGAATGATTTCTTCTAAATTCCAACTACTTATCCTAACAGTAATGGAACCTACGCCAGTGACCATTTTCATACATTAAAAAAAGTATACTGTATATATTTTAGGTCTACAGTGACTTATATGACATTTTGTTCTACAGAGTGAAATGGTTACTACAGTCAAGCAAATCATCATACTTGTCATTTCACAGTTATCCTTTTTGTGACAAGAACACTTTTTTAAAAAAAGCAGTCAGGGGGCTGGGAAGGTGGCTCAGTGGTAGAGCGCTTGCCTTGCATGCCTGAGGCCCTGGGTTCCATTCCTCAGCACCACATAAGCAAAAAGAAAAAAGCCAGAAGTGGCGCTGTGACTCAAGTGGTAGAGTGCTAGCCTTGAGCTGAAGAGCTGAGGGACAGCGCCCAGGCCCAGAGTTCAGGCCCCATGGCTGGACCCAAAAAAAAAAAGAACAATCGCTCCTTTTCTCCATCATCAAAGGCCCCCAATACCTGTTCATTGGCTAAGTGAATGACCATTCTATAGATAATTCTACAAACCTAAGGTAACTCACAAACAATGCAGTCCCTACACAATTATCAAATGATGTGAGGACTTCAGCCCAAGTGTGTGAGGAGACCACTGGCGTAGCTGTGGATGCTTTGTGCAGAAAAGTGGAGCTTGAGCCAGATGTTCAGCATTCAAATAAATAAATAAGCAATTCTTCTCTCTCAAAACTGACTGTCTAAGGGGTTGGAGGTGAGGCTCAGGTGGTAGAGCACCAGCCAGTGAGTGAAAGCATCAGACACCAAGTTTGAGTCGCCCTGGGGCAGAACAACAGCAGCAGCAACAGCAACTTCTCAGTGTGCAGTTACAGTTAACATTTCAGTTCCCCAAGATAAAGTGTTTAGAATTTTTCTTCCCAATAGTTGACACACGGAGGTTGATAATTCTGTCCCCAAGAACAATGCTCCTTGCAGGTCTGTCTTTCCAGGGTGTGTGATGTGTATAGTCCTATAAGAACAAGGAATAGGGCCCTGCAAAATAAAGTGTGGAAGGTAAGCTTCATTTTAAGCACAGATTGCTAGTTTACCATATCTCAGCTTTGGAACAGAGTTGGGTACCAGTAGCTCACACCTGTAATTTTAGCTACTCAAAAGGCTGAGACCTGGAGGATGTGGTTTTAATACTTTCCATCCTATGCAGAAAAGTCTGCACAACTTTATCAAAATACTAGACTGGAGGCATGGCTCAAGTGGTAGAGTGCAGCTGTAAGCAAGTATGCCTAGTGACAAAGTGATTTCAAGCCTTGGTATGGGCATGCACACAAAAAGTTGGAAGAGACATTTTCATTTTCTATCAGTTTTTGACATGGTAATAACCATAGCAAACCATAGGCAAAGCCCACTATTTTTCTTTCAATCACAGTTGCAAATCCTTTATGTATATTAAATAATAGATCTTCTAAGTAACCCTTTGAATCAGGTATACTGATACGTGGAGAAGCTAAATAACATGCTCAGAGGGGCAAAGCCAAAACCAAGCAATCTGCCAGGTGCTGGTGGCTCGCACCTTTCATCTTAGCTGCTCAGAAAGCTGAGATCTGAAGATCGCAGTTCAAAGCCAGCCCTGGCAAGAAAGTCCCTGAAACTCAGTTCCAATTAACCACCATAAAACTGGAAGTAGTGCTGTGGCTCAAAGTGGTGGAGCACTAGTCTTGAGCAAAATGCTCAGGGACAGTGCCCAGGCCTCTAGTTCAAGTCCCATGACTAACAAAGAAAAGCAAAACAACCAAACAACCAAAAAAAAAAACAGGCAATCTAATTCCACATTTTTCGTTAGTCTGATTTAAAAGCATCATTAAGACAAATTCACAATACTAGATGCATTGAATGTGCAATCAGAGGTTATTTATCAGCAGCCATTCCAACTTGGGCAGACTGTGGACGGTGAATACACATCTAGAGTCAAGTCACAAAGGACTTGGAACCAATACTTCTGCGTTTACCAAGATATTAGCAATAAAAGGACTCCAGAGGTCATTTGGACCAGAGGCAGTAAATGAGCAGCAGTTTCTCTGGGTCCAGAACAACCAGCCAGCAGCCTCCTCCATGATTACACACCAGAACTTTTCTCCTCCTCCTTCTCTTCTCCTCCACTTCTTCCTCCTCCTCTTTTTCCTCCTCTTCCTCCTCCTTCTCTTGTTCCTCCTCCTCCTCTTCATCCTCTTCCTTCTCTTCCTCCTCCTCCTCATCCTCCTTTTCCTCTTCTTCCTCTCCTCCTCCTCCTCCTTCTCTATCTCTTTTTTTTCTTCCTCTTCTTTTTGTGCCAGTAACATGGTTTAAGCTCAAGGCCTGGGTGCTGTCCCTTAGCTTTTTTGCTCAAGGCATAAGTTTCAACCCCATCTTGGACTTTGATTCTAGGAAGTCAGAACGAAGAATTTTGCTTCTTCTGCCCGGAAGCTGTCACATGGAAGCTGTCACATTCATCCGTGTAGCAAGCCCCTGGTGCTGGTGGGGATCCTGTTCTGCTTCTGAGGGGCTGTCCAGGCATGGAGCCAGCAGAGCCGGAAGGTTTTGGAACATGTCCACGGGGCGTGGCCAGCAAGCCTGAGGTCCGTGGAAGTCCCCTTCCCCCAAGGTTGCTTCTGCAGCTCAGTCAGCACTCCCGGGACTTTTCTTTCCACCATTCTGAGTAAATCATTTTACAAAGCTGTCATCTCTCTAGCCCCAAACCCCAAATAGAACTACAAGTGACATGTTGATTTTTGTCTTGAGTTCTATCCTTACCTTGGTTAACTTTCCAAAGGAATGCCTGGCATGTCGCCGGCTCTCAAACTCACTTATGATAAAAGCTGAAGCACCGGACTGGCTAACATGCTGGCCCGGCAGACCTGTCCACCCAACTCCCTACCCTTAAAAAAGTGCTTCCCCAGAAACTTCTAATTACAGCAGCATTTGCATTAAGAATTTCATTGTCAAATACAACGATGGGGGGCGGGCAGGATTCAAATTCCAGTTTATTCTTTATTGGTAAGGGAAAATGCCCATACATGGAAATGATTTCGTTTCCTGGATCAACTGTATAAATCCTGGGAGGTTGGCAAGCCACCAGTAAACCCTGCGCTCTGAAGCAAAGCCCTGGCTCGGTGGCACCATTCCATTTTACACAGAAATGCATGTGGCGTGCCAACCTAGGCAGAAAACTTTTTGAGATGGAATCTCCAAGTAACCAACAAAAAGCTGGACTGGATGCATGGTTCATCGTGAGCAAGCTGGACGCATGCACCCATCATGAGCAAGCAAGTAGAGCAAATGTAAAGCCCTCAGTTTAAATCCCAGTCCTGGAAACACAAAGCGGGGAGAGGAGAGGGACAGAACAGTAGAGAGGTCAGAGAAAGGGAAGTTGAGTACGGTGCCATCAGTTCACTGAACATTCCTCATGGATTCCTCGCGAGTTCATCTGTGAAACGTGGGGTGAGTGGGTAGAATCCTGCCCAGCCTTCCTTTGTCACCCTCTACCTGGACCACAGATACCAGGATGGGGGCCAGCTGGGAACAGCAGCCACTTCGGGAAGTGTCTGCCTTGCAGAGCAGAATCCCAGGCCGGCTGCTGGGAGGAGAGGAAGTCAGAGGCCGCTGCCCTTCTATCAGGGATGCCACCATGCCCTTCGGAAGAAGGAAGTCCAGGAAACCATGTCTCTAACTGCTTCTAAATTTAAATCTGAACCATTTCCACTATTCATAAATGAAATTCTGAAGTCTACAAACCTCTGTGACATTTAGAGGCCAATCCTCTGTCCTAAATAGGAAATGCTGGACGTATTTTAAATGACTAATAATAATTTTGACAACTACCATACTGGCAGCCAAGTGGTACTGAGTGTGCTGGTGTGAGCGGCTGGGTGCTGAGAGCTGGGGGGGAAGGGGGGGTGGAGTTTGCTCCTCATGACCACTCCACTGAGAATCTCATTTTAAGATTATCCAGGCTCCCTCACACATCAATGCCAATACTTCATTCTAGAATTAGCATTCAGCTACACTGTAAAATCAAACTCAGCCTCTCAGTGATAAATATACTCTCCATTAATTAAAAGCATTGAGTTAGAGCTCAAATTAAACATGAAGTGAATCCAGCACTGGTGGTTTACACCTGTAATCCTAGCTACTCAAGAAGCTGAGATCTAAAGATTGAGGTTCAAAGCCAGTCTGGGCAGGAAAGACTATGAGAGATTCTTATTTCCAATTAACCAGAGAGAAAGAGAGAGAGAGAGAGTGCGAGCGCTAGAAGTGGAGTTCTGGCTCAAGTAGTACAGTACTAACTTTGAGCACAAAAGCTCAGGGTCAGCGCTCAGGCCCTGAGTTCAAGTCCTAGGACTGGCACATGCATGAGTGTGCGCGCACTCACGCGTACACACACACACACACACACACACACACACGAAGTGCCTAGTCCTTACTATATATACAATTCCACTGTGACACACCTCCCCCTTTTTCTTTTCTTTTTCTTTTTTTTAGGTCTGAGACCAAGACTCAAACTCTGTCCCTGACTAGTGCTCTACCAACTGAGCCATGCCTCCAACCCCACCTTTTCTACAGATCAGAAATAAACAAGGGTCAGCTTATAAGGAGTCCATTTTCTTTTCCACATTACCTTCGGTTCTTCCTCACTGTGTAATGATGTGAGCTTCTTAGGCAACGTCATTTTCTATCGCCTAAATCTTTCATGGTTTTCTCTTGGTCTGATACCTTAATCCAGGGATGAGAGCACTTTGTTAGGTTACTCAGTTGTAATTCCTTTGAATAACTGGCCGCTATTTTCAGCACAGTGGAAAGAACCTGTGAAGTCTGAAATTGCTCAAGAATGGAGTTTATCTGTATCCCTGGATTCAACTTTTCCAGCCTGGGTTAGGCAAGAAAATCCCCAAACATTCCTGGGTAGTTTGTTTCAGATTGGATCTGATTTTGGTTAAAAAGTGGAACTGCTTAATTATATCACATTACTCGGAGAGCTCCAAAGCACAGAAAATCATGAGGCCCTCCTCTCTCTCCTATGAATTTTCTCCTATCCTCTGTATGTCCTTTTAGATTAATTCTTCTTGATTTGAAGCTGGCATTTCACACTGTATCATATATTATTTCAAATTTGGATTGTGTTTATTTAACACAAGAATGAAATATCAATTGTCAGTGAATGTCACATTTACCTTTCTTTAAGCTTTCTCCCACTTAAACATTTTCTTCCGAAGTTCCTTTTCTCCCCATTGATAGGATATTCCTCACCAGGTTCATTGAGATACCACTTGGAAGACTAGTTGTCTGAGTAATTTGTAATCATTTTAGAAAATTGGTTTCCCACACCAAATTCTGGGAGATAACTCTTCTAATACATTTTTCTCCATCCCCAAATTGTCCATCCTTTTCTCTAAGTGGATCCAAAGTCATTTTTTGTAATTGCCTAGATCTAGTGCAGGGTATCTAAAAATGTTAGGAAGTAGATTCCTTTCCGCAAAACCAGGCTTCCTTTTCCTATTTGATTAGAGATTCCCCCAACTCCACTCTTCTGAGCTTTCTAAGGCAGCATTGTATGGGAAGTCTCAGCATTCCACATGTATAGTTCTTAATGGGGTAGCCACCAGCCATGTGTTGGATGCAACTGAGAAACTGAATTTTCAATTAATTGAAGTTAAAAAAAATGTAACTTCAATAGCCCAAGATGACTGGTAGCAATTGTACTGGAGAGTTCAGATCCAAGGCCTCTTTGACCCTTCCATGACCCAGCTAAGTACTTCCCACACAATGAGCCCAGTGAGGAACTAAATATTGTAGCCCACGGTCTAATAATTTCACACTTGGAAACTAGTAAGTAGATAGATGACTTCTAACAGGAACATTCATTTTTGAAAGAGAGTGTTTAATAATTCATTGACTGTCACAGTTCAGATTTGTATAATGCTACCCTGTGTGTGTGTATATATATATGTTTTTCTGTCCTCAAATTTCTTCTCACCAATATCACTTTTACAAAAATAAAAAGCAGATACCTGGAGCTAGAGTTCCTTGTTCTAGAATTTTAGTTATGACTTCTTGAAGCTAGTTATTAGAACAGATGTACGAATACAATTTGTTTCTAAAATTGTGTAGTGAGGTAGTTACCTTGCAGAATTTAAAGGGTATTTTATGAAAAAATACAGTAGATAGTGTTTGCAGGAAAATGAGATTTAAATTACTTTCTAGAATACTCCTGAAACTTTAGGTATTATACCCATTTACAACTGGAATTTACCTACAAAACTGCAATCATAATAGTAGGTTTTGATCTGTATTTCTATCGATATGTATGTATGTAAAGATGGATAGAAAGATAGCATAATAAAGAAGAAAATATGTTGAAACTCAAAAAAACATAAAAATAAAAATACAAAAAAAGAAAACATGCAAGTAACCTTTTTTCAGTAATCCTCAAATAAAATCATTGAAAATCTGACCTGTTTATTTTACTGAGGCAGCTGTTGGTGGTTTTTTTTTTTTGGGGGGGGGTCCAGTCATGGGGCCTGAACTCTGGGCCTGGGCGCTGTCCCTCAGCTCTTCAGTTCAAGGCTAGCGCTCTACCACTTGAGCCACAGCACCACTTCCGGCTTTTTTCTTTTTGCTTATGTGGTGCTGAGGAATCGAACCCAGGGCCTCGGGCATGCAAGGCAAGCGCTCTACCACTGAGCCACCTTCCCAGTCAGTTTTTTTTTTTTTGTAGAGGTGGGGGTTCTTTTGCTGGTCCTGGGGCTTGAAGTCAGAGACTGGGCACTGTCCCCGAACCTCTTTGTGCTCAAAGCTAGTGCTCTACCACCTGAGCCACAGTGCCACTTCTGGCTTTTTCTGAGTAGTTTATTGGAGATAGGAGTCTCATGGACTACTCTGTCCTGGCTGGCTTCAAACCATGATCCTCAGATCTCCATCTCCAGAGTAGCAAGGATTAAAGGTGTGAGTCACCAGCACCGGGTCCTGAGGCAGTTTTTATAGAGAAATATTATCTCAAAAAATTATTGTTCAATGAGTATTTTTTTATTTTCTATGATATGCCAAGCATTGTGGGAAATACATGGAAAATGATAAAGCTCCCCATCTCTTTACAGAATCTATAAGGTTCCAGAAACACACTTTCCTAGGCACCAAGAAAGCCAAAGGCTCCCCACCAAATATAAAAAGTTGAGTGAGTTTAACTTTGCATAATAAATACTACACAATTTATTCATTCATCCAAAAGGCTGCTACTGTAGAGTACTAGCCTTGAGCTGAAGAGCTGAGGGACAGCGCCCAGGCCCAGAGTTCAAGCCCCACAACCACCACCAACAAAAAAAAAAGGCTGCTACTGAGGGTTGGCTTAGAGGCAGGCATCATTCTATGCCTTTTTACAAAGCCCAGGCCACTGTGAAGCTGATATTTGATCATGGAAGACAGATGGTAAATGTGAATGTCCATTTATTAATAAATAAATAAATCCAAAGAGTATGACCTCCCTGTGTTATGAGGCATGAGTTCAAAGCATGCCTTGGAAGAATAAGTTGTATGGAAAGACAGCAGTGAATTAACTACTTCATTCTACCCCGTAAGTGATGATTCACGTGCCTCTTAAGACAGTGTAATGACCCTATGAACAGTAAAAGATGTGCATATGTGAAGAGCATAGCTGAGGACAGTGGTCTTGTAAGAGAGTCTATGGATTACTGACTCTTTCAATGGTTCCAGTATTTCTCTAAATAGAACTCAAAGTATGTGTGTGTGTGTGTGTGTGTGTGCGCACGCATGTGCGTGCACGCATGTGCAAGTGTGTGTATTGAGACAGGTCTCACTATGTAGCCCAGATTGGCCTTAACCTATTCCTGCCCCATCCTCCTGAAGGGTGGAAATACAGGTGTATACCATTAGAGCTGACTGATGTATTGCAGTTTCCATTTCCTACTTTTCCTGTTTACTTTTCATAATGGGAGAGGTGTTAACTCACTTCAGGGTTTGCAAACTTAAGAAAGTCATAAACTTCTTTTTAGATTGGTCCATCAGCTAGGATACATTTATCTTCAAGTAACACAAATCTCCAGTCAAAATAGGCATCTTCTAAGAAGAACACTTGCAGGATTATACTAGTTGGAAATCCAGGAGCTAAATAGGAAATAAGGTTAAACAATCCATCAAGAATCCAAGGTCTCTCCTTCTCCCCTGTTGCCCGAAGATCATTTCATGTGCAGCTGGTTTCCCTCGCAGTGGGAGACTGGCTGCCAGCAGCAATCAGGACTCTGTGTTTCTTTATTCACATAGGTGGAAAAGATGGAAGTCCCCTCCAAACATCAAACAACAGCGTTTCCCCTTCCTGAGTAGGCCATCCATCACCTGGCTACTCTCCAGTCTATAACTACCACCAGGAAATGTCCCATACGATTGGTTGAAACTTCAACCCCATCTCTGACTAGAGGGAGGGAATAGTTATGATTGGCTTATACCCAAAGCTGGAAACTCTGACTGTGGCCACATCCTGCCTGCCAGCTGTTTTTGGAAACTTTTGTTAAAATACCTCCTTTTTCTTCCTCTCCATGTTGTTTATGCTGACTTTTGCACTGCAATGAGAGACCTCAATAGGTATAGCAGATAGCATGAATCCTATAAAGGCTCAAGCTATTACTATGTGGCCCTTCACAGAAGTTTGCCAACTCCTGTCTTAGGCTGACCCAAGACAGTTTTGGAATTGTGCTTAATGCCCTACCCCTTGAAGCTGTGGCTCCATGTAGGCATGTTAATACGAGCATGGCATAAGTTGCAAAGATTTTTCTTTCCCTTGTTCCAAAGAAGAAATGGTCTAGCTTCAGAAGAAAGAGCCTTATTTTCAAAGCCTCTGCTCTCCTCTCCTCTTGCAGATTGGTGGGGATAAGTTCCTACATCGAGTGATCTTTACAATATCAGATTCAATTTTTGTTCTTCTTGTTTCTCCATGGAACCAAATGTCTGCCAGTTCTTCAACCCACCAAGCAGTAGATGGCATTTCCCACAATCCTGCGTCATAGAAGAAACAACCCTAATGTCGGGGTACTGCTTTTCAGTACCTGCACAGACTCAGGTAAAAGTCTTTCCATACCTTCCCATCATTTTCTAGGGTGAGCAATTTCCTGCCCAAACAGCCAACAGCCCTTTCTTTTCACAATAGACTTGGGTGTTTATTTTTATTATGAGTGGAGCTACATTTCCATTGTGGAAACATTAGAAGCACAGATAACCAAAGGAGGGAAAAAAAAGAAAACTTGTCAACTGTCCCACACCCTTGGGGAACTTTCAAAGCAAATAGTATGTTCCGGAGTTAGTCTTCCTCCAAAAGGTCTGAACTAGCCTTGATTTTTTTCCAGCAGGAAGTCATGATAGAATATTTGATTTTTTTTGCCCCCATACTTATGAAGTTACTGAATGGATCTGTTCTTTGAGTAGTCTTTCTTAGGGTCTTTATTAAATTGTGAACTTCTTGGCTACTTAAGGAAACTTATGGAAAAGGGCAGAGCTTGAGGAGCTGCCGTTTCAAATAGCTTGCCTTATGTACATCTTTTAAAGTGTCATGCACATCTCTCACAAACATGAAAGATAACTTATCTCTCTTTGTTTTAGACTGTGTCTTATTTTTCTCATCTCTGTGATCCAACACCCGAGAGAACTTAAAGGGATGAATTATTT